TAACTGTGCAATTCTGTGATTAAGGTTGGATTACTGCAGGACAAGCTGGATAGCTTAACAGGCTGGGACTCTATTGCCTCCACCTGGTTCTGGAAGACCATTGGAACATTCCAAAGGCCAGTAGGCGGAAGAGGTGGAGACCTAATCTGCACGTTTATGGGAATCTAACCAATTCCAGGTTTGGAGGCCATGATAGAGTGGTGGACCAGCCCATAAATATGGGACAGTCAGGCAGGGGCATTGTGGGGAAGATGGAGTGCTAAGGAGACTGTCAGTGGCCTAGGAGGGGTCCCCTAGGTCTGGGGGAGTGGCCTCTGGGCTGGGCCTGGCTGACTCAGGAGGGTCTATTCAGCAGTGTGGCTTGAACAGGATCAAGGCCTGCGAGCAGTGGGTGCAAGGAGAACAGAGTGAGTACATCAGCACACCCAGGGATTTACAAGGGGAGAGACTGCCACATATAGCAAGATTTCAAAGATCAGCGTTGTGCTTAAACCCTTTGCCCTTGTCCTGGGAGATCTTCAGAGCAGCCAGGAGGGCTGGTAGTGTCTGCAAACTGTGGAGCTGGGAGCAGTTCTACAGGGGAGAGGAGACATCTCTGCATGTAGTTTGCAGCAAGCTAAGCTAATTTTCAAGGGGGGCTGCAAGTCCCTAGCCTGTAAGGGACTGTTGCTACTGATCCGCAAAGACTGACGGCTTTCCAGGAAAAAGAACAGTCCAGGATCTATTTCTGTACATAGGAAGGAAGTTGTCCCTGTGTATTGATTCAGCAAAATTGGGCACCCCATAATCTCTATTACACTATCCAAGTTATTTCTTCTAATAAAATAACAAAATAGGACTGTTCACTGACTGTGGATGCTAGCATGGAAAATACGTGTTGCCTGGCTATGTGGAGCTAAGAGGGATCTGAAAAACAGAGTGGTCCTCAAAAAGGTACCGCAACATGAAAGGAAAATCAATACAAGATTTTGTTTCATTGGTCCCTTTGACCTGAAAAATGTTATGCTATTAATCCAATATTAACCTCTACTTGTTGGCAATGTAACGAGTCTATAGGAACATTATGCCATATTTATTGGGAGTGCCCTAAAATAAATCCTTTTTGGGAATAAACTGGGACTCTTTTGGAATTCTTTATTTTGGCTCTTTAATTCTTCTGGATCCAGTTTATAATCTTTTAGGGCTTCCCTTGCCGAACACAGCTACATCAGCTGTCAAATTGATCAACCATATTCTTACTGCAGCCAGATGTTTAATAGCATTAAAATGGAAAAAGCAATTACTGCCTTCTCAAATTGATCTTTACAAATATTTTCATGATGTCCACCATATGGAATATTTGACAGTGCAACTCTACAACACTATCCCTAAATTTAATAAAATATGTCAGCCCGGGCATCTTTTAGAATCTCAGTTTCCCCAATGAGGAATTCTCCTCGGTGTTTTGCCCACTTGACATTGTGGGTCATATACCCAATTTCCTCCTCCTCCCTTTCCTTCCCCCACCTTGTCCTCTTTGTTTTTTCATTTCTTTCTTCTTGATCTCTTTTCCTTGCTTTTTCTTTCATTTTGTTTAGAAATGTATACCCTAACTAGTATCTGAGAAGTACCGTTTTTGCCACCAGGGAACCGCAACAACTCAGGTATTGTTGTTGTTCATTACTCTGTTTTTTACCTATACTGATCTCAAGCTTTGTTCTGAATAGAAGACATTTTATAGTAGCACTGTTGCCATTGTCTTTCAGATATTTACACATTCTAAATATCAGTAAATAAACTTTAAAACAAGCTCTCAGTTACCCCTGTATCTGCAGTCAATGTGGAGTAATCGATTTTCAGTTTTACTTGCACTTTCTCTTGGTAGCTCAGTTTCCCCTGCCAGCAGTAACTTGACAGTCTGGCAGCCTTGTATTTTCTAATGTAAGTACAGAGCAGTTGCACAGTAATGCAGAGAGAATAGTTGTAAAACCCAAATGGAACGACTTAATGGATTCTTTTGTGTACTATGCGGACAATTAGCTGCACTGTGCATAAACCTATTTAGTTAAGTAAGAGCTTATTTTAAAGACAACTAAAGCTTTGGTAAAAGTTGCCCTTTAAGGCATGCTCCCACCATCCTGAGTGCAGCCCTGGTCCATTACAAAACTCTATCCTCATTCCAGCCATTTTCACTGCGCAACCCTACCAACACAGCCTTTCTTCCAAAAGCATCCTGGTCTGGTCTTCTTTATATATGTTGAATGCATGAGGTCTGCCACACATGTGCAGGATGAAGAGAACTTGGTAGGGAAGCTTTTAGAAAAAAAGTCTGTGCAGCAAGGCCACACAGTGAAAATCATTCAAATGGGGACAGAGGTAAGTATTATACTGGGTGGGATGCACTCAGAAGGAGGGGGGAGGAGGTATACCTTGAATGATAACTTGTACTACAGGAACAGTTTTTCTTTAAAGCTAATTTACATTGTGTTATGAATATGTACATTTTTTGAGTTTCCATAGCATGGCCATGGTGCTACTAATAGCTTCACTAGGACAGCTTAAGATAATACTAAACAACTTTTAACGATGAAATAGATCAGAATAAATATATTTCTCCTTCATTGATTTTCTCTTATGAAAAATCAGTGCTGAGTTTGTCTTTAGGTAGTGAAGTTGAAGTCTGGCTGCGCTGCTTGTAATGTGCTCTTGACTACATCTCAGCTCACACTTTAGTTTTGATGCTCAGATCAAAAATCACTTTCCAATTATTTCTTCAATTAATAATTGAATAATGAAAACTATTGTTTTATATTGTGTTACAAATTTTATTTGCAGGCTAGACAAAATTTTTTCAAATATGACCCATGTTATGAAAACTATATATTCCCTTATTTACTCCCCTTACATTAGACCTTTGCATTACCACACTTACAGGGGAAACTCAAAAAATTAGAATACCGTGCAAAAGTTCATTTATTTCAGTAATGCAACTTAAAAAGTGAAACTAATATATGAGATAGACTCATTACATGCAAAGCAAGATAGTTCAAGCCGTGATTTGTCATAATTGTGAGGATTATGGCTTACAGCTCATGAAAACCCCAAATCCACAATCTCAGAAAATGAGAATATTGTGAAAAGGTGCAATATTCTTGGCTCAAAGTGTCCCACTCTAATCAGCTAATTAAGCCATAACACTTGCAAAGGGTTCCTGAGCCTTTAAATGGTCTCTCAGTCTGTTTCAGTAGAATTCACAATCATGGGAAAGACTGCTGACCTGACAGTTGTGCAGAAAAACATCATTGACACCCTCCATAAGGAGGGAAAGCCTCAAAAGCTAATTGCAAAAGAAGTTGGATGTTCCCAAAGTGCTGTAACAAAGCACATTAATAGAAAGTTATGTGGAAGGGAAAAATGTGGAAGAAAAAGGAACACAAGCAGCAGGGATGACCGCAGCCTGGAGAGGATTGTCAGGAAAAGGCCATTCAAAAGTGTTGGAGACTGTCACAAGGAGTGGACTGAGGCTGGAGTCAGTGCATCAAGAGCCACCACACACAGACGGATCCTGGACATGGGCTTCAAATGTCGTATTCCTCTTATCAAGCCGCTCCTGAACAACAAACTACGTCAGAAGCGTCTTACCTGGGCTAAAGAAAAACAGACCTGGTCTGTTGCTCAGTGGTCCAAAGTCCTCTTTTCTGATGAGAGCAACTTTTGCATCTCATTTGGAAATCAAGACCCAGAGTATGGAGGAAGAATGGAGAGGCACACACTGCAAGATGCTTGAAGTCCAGTGTGAAGTTTCCACAGTCTGTGTTGATTTGGGGAGCCATGTCATCTGCTGGTGTTGGTCCACTGTGCTTCATTAAGTCCAGGGTCAACGCAGCCGTGTACCAGGAGATTTTGGAGCACTTCATGCTTCCTTCTGCAGACAAGCTTTATGGGGATGCTGACTTTATTTTCCAGCAGGACTTGGCACCTGCCCACACTGCCAAAAGCACCAAAACCTGGTTCAATGACCGTGGGATTACTGTGCTTGATTGGCCAGCAAACTTGCCTGACCTGAACCCTATAGAGAATCTATGGGGCATTGCCAAGAGAAAGATAAGAGACACGAGACCGAACAATGCAGAAGAGCTGAAGGCCGCTATTGAAGCATCCTGGTCTTCCATAACACCTCAGCAGTGCCACAGGCTGATAGCTTCCATGCCACGCCACATTGAGGCAGTAATTGCTGCAAAAGGGGCCCAAACCAAGTACTGAGTACATATGCATGCTTATACTTTTCAGAGGTCCGATATTGTTCTATGTACAATCCTTGTTCTATTGATTGCATGTAATATTCTAATTTTCTGAGATTGTGGATTTGGGGTTTTCATGAGCTGTAAGCTATAATCATCACAATTATGACAAATCACGGCTTGAACTATCTTGCTTTGCATGTAATGAGTCTATCTCATATATTAGTTTCACCTTTTAAGTTGCATTACTGAAATAAATGAACTTTTGCCCAATATTCAAATTTTTGAGTTTCACCTGTGTATCCTGATGAGGGATTGCAGGCTGTGATCAATATTAGAAACAATTTAGAGGAATTTCAGGACGTGATTGAAAACTATATAAACTACATTGCTAAAAAGAAAATAGAAAGACTTGACATAGAAATAAGCTGAGCATGCTTGTGCTGGTTTGTTTATGTCTCCAAATCCTATTTAGCTGCAGATGTTAAGCATAATTGTGTATGGACTTTAGATGTTCCATAGTACTATTTGAATTGAAATGTGTGATTACATACTATATAAAGAAATCTCTCCTTTCAGTTTCTTAAACTGATCTTTGCCATATAAAAGTAGTTTTAAAGTTGTAAATGTATGAAAATGTATTATACAATACCTAATGCCACAAAGACTTAATCTGATATACATGGAGTTGCTACCGGGCTGACCATTTGGAAACTCGGGCACTGCCTGAGGGGCCGGGGTCAGTAGGGGGCCCCATGAGATGCCCCTGGTACCTTTTTCATAGGGTTTTTTGAGTTTGGCCAAGGACATAGGGGCCCCATGATCCCCTATTGCCCGGGGGCCCCATGAGTTGTCAGTCCGCCCCTGGTTGCTACACTGCACAGGCTACTTGGCATGATGTAGCAAAACCTTTCACTCAAGCCTACTATGAACTGGCTCAGATTAGCATGCTGGAGGACGATTATAAAAAAATATTGCTGCGAAAGCTCTGCACTCCAGCAATCCACACTGCAGCTTTGCAACCTCACTTTGCTGGAAGTGATCTCCTGCCTGACAGTTAACATATGATTCTGACTCAAACAGCAGTGCAGAAAAAAGGCAACATTGTGAAAGTGGGTGCTCAGGTAAGTAAACACCACTACCATCTTTTTTATATATATATATATATATATATATATATATATATACACACACATACACATACACTACTATCTGACAATGGCCAGTTAGAGAATACACTCAATAAATGTGCTGTGTTTGGTTGCTGCACCCGCTGACAACAATGCTGGTACCAATGCAGGTTTTATTTCTTCACTGACTGACACTAATGCGTAGGGTATTAATATGGCCACTGACACAAACACTGGGGGTATATAATGTGGCCACTGACAAAAATGCTGGGGATTCATTTTGTGGTCCATGACACCAATGCTGGGGGTTCTTTTTGCTGCCACTAACATCAATGCTAGGGGTTATTATTGCTGTCATTGTCACTGATGCTGGGGGTTATTATTGCTGTCACTGACACCAATTATGGGGGTTTATTTTACTCTCATATTCATATATATCTTATATTACTCTCTCTTCCGTATACCCCAAGGCCCAGTTTTGTCTACACCATAGTAAAGCAAAGAAGTAAAAGTGCCACACTACAAGCCATACTCCATAAAACATCACACACAGCTTCAAACGTTTGCAGCTATGGATTATTTTATGCTCACTGGCACCAATGATGTGATTTATTTTTACCCCTGTTGACACCAAAGATGTGGGTTATTTAAACACCCACTGACACCAATGATTGGGCATATCTTTACACCTGTTTTTCATAACAGGGTTTATTTTTACCAACTGCCATTAATTATAAAACTATTTTTGCACTTATTGGTGTATGAGAAGCTCAGTACATGTTGGAACCAGAAGACTGTCACATACTCATGCGTATGTCCATAATTCTGAGCAAAGGCTCAATGCAAAATGGGCATTAGCACACATGTGCAAACATATTAGTGTGTCCACAAAACATATGTGCACGTGCGCACGCACTGGCGATATTGGTAATGGCACAAATGGTGGCCTATTTAAGCTGTACTATGACACGAATGGATTGCTAGTCCTTGCTTAACCTGAGCCTTCGCCTGCCATACCTGCCTATCTGTGCATGACTCAGCTTGACCCTGACCTGTATTTGGATTTCTGCCTGTTTGCTGTGACCTCGGCTTGTATTCTGACTCTGTCATCACTACCAGGGGTGTTGGACAAGAGGTGCAAGAGAAGCCCCCTCTCCAGCTTTATGTCCACCAGGTACGTGACAATTGGCTGGCACTGTAAGAAACACATTTACATAATTCCAAGGCCTGTACTTTGAATGCTTTGTTGTGTCTTGACCAACGTGTTTATTGTTTTAGCACTTGATGTTTGCTAGTAATCCTCACCTTTTTAAAGTGTTACTAAACCCACAACAGTAAAATCAGTCTATAAATGCAGTAAAGCATGCTTGTTATACTCACTGTGGAATTTAAAGGGTTAATCCTCTGCATCGTGTTTGATGTTTGATCTTCTCTAATCCTCCCCTTCTTCCACTGTCCCCAATCCATCTGCTGATAGAAAAGAGGCTTAGGGGCAAGCTGCACATGCTCAGTTTGGTGTGTATTACTACAGAGGTTTTTTTTTTTCTTGGGAGAGAGCATGTAATCAGCACAGGGCCAATCAGCGCTGTCCAGACAGGGGGTCAGGGGTCCTGCAGCCTCATAGGACAAACAGGGGAGAATGAAAACTCCTCCTACAAGCTTTAACCAGTGCTCTGCTGGACACTGATAGAAGTTACAAGACTGCTGTAATTGCTGATGAGAAAAGGTATTTAGCCGTTTATATTTACTAAAATAATTGCATTTCCATGTTGAGTGTACTGTGGGAGACCAGATAAAGTGAATGCAGTGTCCTTGGTTTCGTAACACTTTAACAATTTTTCCTTTAAGTTTGGCTTGGACAAAGAGTTTTGCAGTGTTTGACTAAATTGCACTTGATTTATAATACAACAGGATGAGTAATTGGTCCCAGTAAAATATTTCAGAACACAAACACCTATTTGCATTAATCCTCATAACCACAGCCCTCTCAGTAAATTCCAGGATTGCTTTGGTAACACAGTTGAACAGCTGAAGGTATCCCAAGCCCGAGGACATGGGAGGGCACCTCACTGGAACTAGAGTATTCTGGTGGATATTAGAAGGTGACCCCCAAAGTAGCTAGGTCTTCCAGAGAAGCTGCATGCTAAAAGGCATTGTGAGTAAATGGGCACTGCACTATACCCTGACTGAACTTGAGTTCTCTGGTAAATATGCAGACCTTTCAAATTCAACTTGCACTGATGGTCCCCCAAAGGGGGCACCTTAGGAGAAGATTATTGGTTCCATATTCTCGGTCCCATATGTACGTATGTATGTATGTATGTATGTATGTATGTATCAGTGGATGGTAGTTTAGAGGAGCATGGACATTAGCTTTGTGACCATTGGGCTGTTTAAAGAATATGTTACCCTAACATTTCATATGTCTGATTTGTGTCTGTGATTAAAAATGCCCTGCCCCACTATATCATATGCGATTTCTTGATTCTTGAATGTAAACATTAGCCTATACCCTGTGTCTCTAGTACATTTCAGCCTAGCCTTGCTCATTAAAGCTGTCTTACTGCTGGTCCAGGTTTATCCAACTTTATCATCTGCAGTCTCTGAATTCCTGATTGAAAACACCAGCCTGCTCCCTTGTCTTTAGTGCACTGCAGCCTAGTTCTGCTCATTAAAACTGGCCTGCCAAATTATACACTACTATATCATCTGATGTCTTTTACTTCTTAATGAGAGTTTGAGATAAATTGGTCAGCAGCAGGACAGATCTGACGCAGCAAAAATAGGGCCAACCTCAGCATACTACTGGCCCATTTCTATTCATTAGGCAATGCATGCCTTTTATTGATAGAAGAAAAAAGTATGTGGTGCCACTACCTGAATAAAGACTTTTTTAACATTTCACTTTATCAAGTTGGTGTGTGTCTGCTATATGTAAGCTTAAGTATTTGTGAAAGGTAAAAAAATACACTTTACAGTCAAATATGCACTACAAGTCTATGATATTGTTGGGGCTGTCCTTGAAAATTGTCTGTCTATAAAACCATTGACAGCTTTAGAGCAGAATTCCAAGGTTACCAATGTCTGTCCTGTCAGCTTCTAGTGCTTTCTGGAAACCTGTGTACTTTCCTGTGCCATTTCCAGTGTTTGCCTCTGGAGGCATTTGAGGTGTATCTCAGCAGGCATACTTCCTGCCTGCAGACACCCAATATCCCACTGACCCTGACTTCTTAGACATGCCCCCTGTGCTTCAGGTGGTGTCAATCACTGCTGTTGTGTCCTATGTGGTGCCTACAACTTCCACAAAGCCAGTTTCTTCTGGATGAGAAGGAGTTACTGTGTACACTGAATTCTAGGATTCAGTGTTGTTTCACAGTGAGTAGAGCTAATTTTCTGTCTTCCTTATTGTTGTAGCACTACCCCCTTAGGATTCGCTAGAAGATTTGGGTCCCTCTATACTCCTGCAGAGCCAGGCATCATACATCTTCAAACAAGTTTCATGCAAAGTCAGAAATCAGTCCTTGAGCTTTGGTTTTGTTGTTTTATTGAACTGGAATAGGGTTAGGGGTGTACAGGATGCCCAAGGGTACTGATTAACTGAGGACAATTTCCTGGAACTTTTTGCAAACCTTCTGTGCAGCACAATCTCTGTTGGAGAGCTAGCCGCATCTCCTTAGTGTACCACCCCAGACCCTAGAAGAAGTTCTCCTCTTCCCCCAGCTATCTGGAGGTATCACTGAACAGGAGATCGGGTTTCTGTCACTTTAAGAGTTGAACAGTCACTGGTAAGTGGCCAATCTGGAATGGCTAATCCGGAATGCTCCTTTCCCTTGTGGGTTGGTGGCTGCTACCAGGCTATCAGCTGGGCTTCTCCTTCCTTGCGATACAGGTGGTCCTCTCAAAGGGGGCTGGTGAGCTCTGAGCTTTCCTCCATTCCAGCTCCAGGCCTGCAGGTAGACCACATCCCACTGGGCGTCCTCACAAACTCCTACCATCAGCCACTCCATCCAACTTTCCTGCTACAGGCTCCAACACGTTTAAGGGTGTCCAGCCCCTTGCCAATGTCCTGTTGGGGATTGGCTAGGGCATTTTAGGTGAAAATGTGTGCTGTTCAGTTTACCTATACAGAAGCAATAAGGAGCAAAGAAAGGAAGCTCAGACTAGTACCTTATACTGCACAGTGTGATATGGACTGCAAAATGTGTAACACAAAGCATCTGGTTTAGTGCCTTCTACTGTTCATATTTAGCCAAAGGCAAAGCTGTGTGTATTAGGTTAGATAAGCATGGTGTCAATCACTGTTGAGTGAACATTATTACAAAGTTTTGCTGACTCCACCCACAGGCCAGTGCAGAGCAAGATGAAAAGAGAATGGATGTTCTTGTGATGTCTTTTTTTTTCGCATTAGGGTAGGAAACCTCGGATAAATTCTAAAATAAGAGAAGAAAGCTGCACAGCATTCAGAGCGAAGTATAAAATTATAAATTACTGCAAACTGAAGTTCTGCTTTAAAGAGGAACTAAAGCCACATTCAAGACATGCCTCTGGTGATAGCTGTCACAGTTCCCAGTGGCTTAAGTTAGCTTTTAACCGAGTTTTTGAAACCTCAAGTGGCTGGTGTCATAGGTGATTATATAGGAAGCACTATGGCAACTGTAGATTTTGGCTAAGGCTAAAGGCTAAGACTAAGATGGTGCCAGCTGTAAATGATAGGAGAGGTTACTTCCACTTCAAGGA